ACAACTTTTGGAAATACTCAGATTTTTCTTTTTGTCAGCATATAACTGTAACTAAATAGTCCTGACTTAATAATCATTCTGTTGCTGCCTTAAATCCACTGTTTTTATAATTCTCACTGCCCCTCTCAGATTTATGTTACTAGTATGTTGCCCCACACATGACAGTAGGAAATGAACAGGGCAGAGTTCTCATTGGCTCCTGATCTACCACAGACTTAATTTGAAACAGAAATATTGTCATGATCTTTTCCTTCTTTGGATTTATACATGGGCCTTGTTGGTATTCATTTGTTTTATTTTGAAATATTACATTCCTTCGGTGCCTGCCATTGTTTTTCTTTCTGCTCATCTTCACTGTGCTTCTTTCAGTGGGTTTCCTGATTACCTGCACCGCCCTAATGTGTTTCACCTTTGTCTCATCAACTCCCCCCTTTGTGTGAATTTGGTTCCTCTGCTTTACACTTCTTGTCTGTTCGCCTCCCCTATGTCACCTTGTGCTTCCCTCGTGTCACCTGAGGCTGATGAGTTTAGATTACTTACTTTGCACCTTGTTTTAACTGCCTGTCTTCCAACCGGAGCTCTTATAAGCCTGCATTTACATCCTAATATAATATTAAACAAATGTTCTCAGACACTCTGTTGTTACATGTGCAAAATGAAAGGTCCATGTCAGTTCTGTCATATAATAATAAACCAGAAAATTTTATTCCGGACAATAAAATAAGACAACATAATAATCTGATATCTAGACAGTGGAACTTTTCTTCTTTTATATTTAAGAACATAATTTCATTTAGCAATCTTGATCACTTTCATTGCTTTCTACTAAAGCTTACAATTCGTCACCTGAACAAAAAAAAGGAAAATCTGCAAATAACACATCTGAAAAATCTATGACACACGTCAGTGATGTAAAAGTTTGGGCACCAAAACTGAGCCTTGTGGTACGCCAAATCAAACCCTCATCAACTCAGATGCATTACCAGCAAACTGTATGTATAGCCTGCTGTTCATCTATAAGTCATCGTTTACGATTACTCTTTTCAGACCATATGCATGCAATTACTATCAAATATTTCTTACTTTCAATTACTGTTAGAAACAAATTTTCTGTCAATACTCTTCATTATGATCATATCGATCCCTTCAGTCAATGTCTTATTTTGGAAATATGCTACAGAGGTTTAATTTTTAATTTCACTCACATCTCCAAATAAGTTACACTTTAATATCTTACCTGCCCCATTCCATCTGTTAGCCTATTGTTATCCTTTCAACACAAATTGTAAGGTTGGAGTCAACACAGAATTTAACTCATTGTTTTTCATTACCTTGTTTATGTCATTCATGAAATTGCAGGTTTGTAATACAAATCCCAGCATTGATTTCATTTTTAAATTCTCTGGTTTCATAATTGCCTATTTATTCTTTTAAATCCTTTACAGCGTTTAATTCAAAAAATAGTTTTATGTTTGTTTTTCTTTTTGTGTGCATTTTGTAAGCCCCTTTGTTATCCAATACTTTTTATAACTACATGAAATGTTGGAAAGTGTTTATCATACAGTGTTAAAAGGCTCTTTATTGCTTCATTAATCTGACCCTTACATGTCTATTGCAGACCCCCCCACCTTATTTTTATTTGACATAATATATCGTGACTAAACAAAAGTAGTGGCGTATATATTTAATTACAGCCTTTTTTTTTTTACTGTGTTCTGCATGACATTTATTAAAATTAATGTTGATTAATGCACAACTTGTGGTTATTCCACTTGGTTTGGTGATGAAGCAGGAGAGGGCGAACATGGAGAAAACAAGTTTTCAGCACTGTTAAACACAAATACACTTGTGTGTATGTATACACATAACCCTATCACAATAAAACCAATACCACTTTGTACGATCACTACAGTAAAGTGCAGGCTAAAGAAGCCTCTGTGAAGGACAATTCCATTATTGGGAAGTAATTATGCAGGCATGGGGCAGTGATCAATCATTAATAAATATATGAATAATTCATTTACTACCAATGCATCTCAATTAACCCCAAACATACAGAATTGGTTGTTTCTCTATCAGGGAAGACAAAAGTAGGTATCGGTAATACATTTGTAACAAAACAGCATTTAATGGTTCTTTATTGGTGAGAAAGAATGAAGCAGAGCTACAACAATTGAATTGAGTCCTTAATGTGAATAATTAATCACAATCACCTGCATGTTTCTTGTGTTTTAAACAAGAACTAATGTTGTCCAATCACCCGGCAGCGGCTGCTGAAGGCAGAAGAAATGACCATGAATGTGAGATCAGATCAAATGTATATCCCTGTGATATTAAAGGCATTCGACTGTGGC